GCCTAATTAGATAAACTACTCGGGAAAACATCAGTTCGGACTCGCAACAGGCAGCCAATATTAAGGAGTAATAAACTCCCATCAATGATAATTATCCTAACAACTTACAAGTTATTTTGCAAAAGAGTTTAGTGTATTTTAATGGAAGCTTTTTCAATATTAAATGTATATCATAGCACTTTCCTTAAGGCAGTTGTATGGGACCACATTCATTTTCAAAATTCATAAATTTTTTTCCCCATTGTCCGTTAATAGGTTCCAGTTTACTGTATGCTGACAATACTGTTGTTTTTTGTTGACATCAGTTTCTGATCTGGGCTGTAAAGAGATAAAACCGAATAAATAAGTATCAAACTCAGCTAAAACTAAATGCATCATATTTAATAAAGGATGTGTACAACAGATACCAGTGATCTTCGCCTGCCACTAGATGGAGCAATAGTAAAGCAAGTCTCAAAGGTTGGGCTGTTGGACATCAGATTGGATCAGACATCATCTTTCATGTTGCATGCGTATGTTTTGCATGATGGATAGAAGTATGGCTATGACAAGGAGAAACTGCTCTGCTTATTATCCGACTCCTGTCATGTTTAGAGCATTTAATACAGTCCTGCTGTGTGTCTCAAAGCAGAAACATTTATGGAAACTTAACCCCTTGAAGCCTGAATTGATGTACATATAAAAATACATTTTTTGTGTGTGTTTTTCCCTTCAATGAGATGCCAAATTAAAACAGTTAATGTCACTAAATAAATAGAAATGAAGCCAAATGATATTTTGTAACAGCAGTTGTAACTACATAATAACATACACTTTGACCAGCACTGGGGTGATGCAAAAACGCTATAGCGGCTGTCTACACTGCAAAAATGTTCTGAAAATGAGTAAAAATGTCGTAAAATAAGTGTATTTACCCTTAATATGACTATGAAAATATGATCTTCCAATGGAATGAGCATTTTTACCCTTAAAATAAGATAATTAGATGCTATGCACTTGAAACAAGAGACTACAGTTGTTTTGTTCTTATTTTAAATGTACATTGTCTTGTTCCAATGGCAAAGTATCTCACTTACCAGCTCAATTAATGAAAAAATGCTCTTATTTTAAGAAAAAATGACTTACCTAGATTTACATTTTTTGTAGTGTAATACAAAAAATGCAATACTGCAAAAACGATCTAGAAATAAGTAAACATTTCTTAAATTAAGTGTATTTACCCTTAATTTGAGCAGGTAAATGAGATAGTTTGCCAATGGAATGAGTAATTTTACTCTTAAAATAAGATAATTAGATAATATGCACTTGAAATAAGACAATACAATTGTGTTTTCTTATTTTAAGTATAAATTGTCTTGTTCCATTGGCAAAATGTCTCTTTTACCTCCTCAATTCAACAACAAATGCACTTATTTTAAGAAAAATGACTTCTAGATTTAGATTTTTTGCAGTGAAGCGATTTGTTGCTTATTAGCAACAACAGGCATCAAAGGGTTAAGAGTATTTGGATCAGAGCTGCTACAATTCTTTGTTCTTTTGTATGGAAGCAAATGTGCTCCAAATTTCTGATCAAAAAGTATCGTTAGAAATGTACAATAAATAGAAATGCATATTGTTTATGTTCAAAATAAAGCTGTATTTTTTGATATATGAAATAAAAAAAAATGATCCAAACTGCATTTTCATTTTCTTACAGTGTTTGATGATAATCTTTAGAGTGTGACAAGAAAGAAAGCTTCAAAGAAAACAGATTTAGAAAAAAAAAAAACAACATTTACAATTTCAAACGTATGCATGAGAATGTAAAAAAAAGAAAACAAAATGAAAATCAACCAAGCAGTTGTGTTAAAAATAGACTCAGCATTTACATTATATAATCCTTATCTGTTATTCCACTGACAGTTAAACTGGTCCGACCTGTTTGCTTTCACTTTTCTAGCGTGTAGCAAACAGTGCTGTACAAAATTGTGACTCCAGACGCAGTCAGTCGGCCAAAGGACTCTTGAGCTCTTGTCCATCCTGTGGTTCGGGCACAGAGCCGGATTTTGACCTAGAAAAACGACTGAACGCACGTCGACTTCTCTGCAGCAGCTCCTTGAACTGAGCGCCCATGTCCTCGTTTACATGGAGGTAAACCAGCGGGTTGAGAGCGCTGTTCAGGCTCACCAGCCCACGGCCTGCCTGGTGCGCGATAAACACTCCAGAATTCCACGAGCTGCATATTTTCCTTCTTTGCAAAACCCTGGAATACATGTTGAGGTTCTTGAATACGTGGTGTGGTGCGTAACAAATTGAGAAGAAAAGAATCATAAGAATCAGCAACTTGAGGCTCCGTTGTTTCGTGACCATTTTTATCGTATTTGAGTGGCAGACGACAAAAGTCACATGCCCGTAGCTGCCCACGATGATAACAAACGGGATGCAGAACCCGATGATTGTCCGGACGAGGTTGTACTGCAGGTATTTCTCAATATTTTCCCCATCGGTTGTATCAAAGCACTGTGTGGTGTTGTTCCCTGAATTTTTGGGAAATATTAAAACCCCCGGCAGACTTTGAGCGGTCACCACAATCCACACCATGGCTGAGATGATCACAGAGTGAGTCCTAGTAACTTTCCCCAGCACTTTCAACGGGTAGATGATGGCCAGGTACCTGTAAACACTCAAACATGTGAGGAATCCGATGCTGCAGTATAAATTCAGGTCAAAGCAGAATCGTGTCACTTTGCAGACGGCTGCTCCAAAGATCCATTTACTCCCATTAAGGTAGTAGGTAATCAGCAAGGGAAGAGTTAGCAGATACAAAACATCTGCTAGTCCCAGATTAAAAACAAGGATGTTAATACTTTTAAGTTTCTTCCAGTTCTGCAGCAAAGTCTTCAATCCCCAAACATTCAACAGAGCTCCGATAATAAACACCAACGTGTAGAGAATAGGAAGTACTGTGTGTTCAAATAAATCCTTATCTGGGTTAGGGCACTTTGCTCCAGTCATATTTCTTTCAGATAAAAGTCGATCCATTCCTCGTCCTCCGAGTCTCAAAATGAAAAACTTTGAACTCTAACTTAGCTGCAGGCACATTCATTTGCAACACCCTTTCCCGGGAAAAAAAAGCTCCGTCATTGAAGGTGTTCCTCCGAGCAGGTTTTATAGCTTTGACAGTGACAGAGAAGATATGTTTATCTTTCAAATTATAATTATTCATGAATTACTCGGAATTCAAGGCACACGCATAACAAACACGCATGCAGCAGTTTTAGTTCAAATACATGCGTGCAAACTACTCTCCACCTGCATTTTGAGCATTTCTTGAGAATTGAAAATAAACAGCAATATATAAATGCTGCTTGCAGTTGCAAGAGCAGATGTGTCAAAAGTATTCATGTTCATTACTCCAGTAGAAGTAAAATCCTGCTGCTTAAAAACCCTTTTGTAGAAGTTAGTTGATCAACTTTAGCTTTTTATTCCAGTAAAAGGGTAAAAGTATCGTTTTAAAACTACTTAAAGGATAAAAGTAAAATTAATAAAAGAAAAAATATTAAGGGAAGAACCTTTAATGCACTACCCTATTAAAATAGCTTTTATTTATTTATTTATTTATTTATTTTTTACAATTCTGGATGATAACTTCCTTAGACTTCATTTTCTTAGTTTTAAAACTAATGGATACATTGTCAAATTTAATTTAGCATAATCTTAAAGAAAAACCTATTTATT